TGAGTTTCAGTCTTGGAAGGGGAGTTGTCCTGAAGGGACTTGATGGCTTGCCTTGATGGCTCCAGGTGGACAGCTTGCTTGTTCTTGTAATAACCAAGCAATCTGCTGTGTTTTTCTTTTCCTTTTTTCTGCTCGTCTTTCTTTCAAGAAGTATCTTGTTTTCCTCTAGCTGCTCTGGGTTGTCTGCATGTCCTTTCAAGTGGGAATGTCCACCTCAAAAGGTTCTGGATGGGGTTCAGGATTCCCCCTAATACCCTGTACTCTACAAAGGCTCTACAAGAAGCTGATTTCACTGGGCAAGTTCTAGAACCCCTTTTAGATATTCTAGTCAGTTATAGGCTGAAGACAAAGCCCTTCTAGCAAACTGGAAGTTAGATATGAAGCCATCCAAGTTCAAAAGATTTGCAAGACTGTGTCATAGATGATGTGCTTGTCTTACTGTGTTACGTTGGACACACGCCATCAGTCCTTCTGAGAGTCGTCATTGGGTGGTATCTCTCGCCTCCCCCAACCCAGAATAGAAAGGAAGCTGTATGGTGTTACTTTGGTATTCTGAATAAATGTGGCATGTGTGCGTGCACGCACATGCACACACACACACACACACACACACACACACACACACACACACACAAGGCATCTTCAAAAGTTCTTGGAAAAATTCCGTTTTTTCCATGAAGTTTTTTAAAGCCCTCCCCTGTGTGTGTGTGATTATATATACATATATATTGTTGTTAAGTGTCGTTGAGTCAGTTCCAACCCATAATGACACTGTATAGGGTTTCCGAGGAGCAGCTGATGAGTTTGAACCACCAACTTTGCAATCCAGCGCATTAACACACATCACCACACCAGGACTACTGATGTGTGTGTGTGTTTCTACATATACTACATACATATAAGGGAGCGTGGTGACTCTGTGTGCTAAACACTGGACTGCTAATCACAAATTCAGTAGCTTAAGCCCATCAGCGTTCCATGGGAGAAAGATGAGGCTTTCTGTTCCTGCAAAGATGTATAGCCTCAGAAACCCTATACAAGGTCACTGTGATTTGGAGCAGACTCAAGGGCACTTAATAAAGTGAACAATGTGTGTGTGTGTGTGTGTAATGTATATATACAAGTTGTTAGGTACCATTCAGACAGTTCCAACTCATAGTGATCCTTTGTACAACAGAACAAAACACTGCCCCATCCTGTAGCTAGCCTCACAGTGATTCTCACGCTTGAGCCCATTGTTGCAGCCATTGTATCAGTTCATCTCATTGGGGGTCTTAGGGTTTTTCAGTGACTTTCTACTTTATCAAGCATGATCTCCTTGTCCAGGGATTGGCCCCTCCTGATAACATGGCCAGAGTATAAGAGAGAAAATCTTTCCTGCCTCACTTCTGAGGAGCATTCGGGCTGTACTTGTTCCAAGACAGATTTCTTTGTTCTTTTGGCGGTCCACGGGAGAGTTACCATTGTTCACCAGCACCACGGTTCCACGGCATCAGTTCTGTCTTCCTTATTCATGGTCCAGCTTTCACAAGCATATAGGTGATTGAAAATCCCATGGGTTGGGTCAGACGTACCTTACTCCTCCAATCTATTTATCTAAAACACACACACATATATATTTTTTTAACACTTTAAAGAGTTATTTATGAGGGGGCTTCAGTGAGTTAATGGAAAAGTGGAATTAAAAGATAATGGATTTTTTCCATGAATGTTTTGAAGCCCCATCATATGTGTGTGTGTTTGTTGTTGTTGTTGTTAAGTGCTGTTGAGTCAGTTCTGACTCTTAGCAACCCTGTATAGGGTTTCTGAGGAACGGCTGGTGGGCTTGAACTGCTGACCTTGCAGCTCAAACTGACTTTGCAGTCCAGTGTATTAACCCACAGCGCCATACCAGGACTCCATGTGTTGTATATTCCCCGTGCTCCCTGCCCGAGAATTTTTATTTACCTTTCTTTTCTCTTGCCGAGAGAGAGAAAACATATATAGCTTCTCCACCCTAGTACCAGGAGTTTTGAGCTTCTTATTGATTCTCTCTGTGGAAATGAATCCATTTCATTCTATTTGTGGACATTCTTCTCAGAGTTACTGAGAGAACTTGTCTGTAGCCATGCACAGATCATAGAGAAGTATTTAAACATGGTGTTGTTGTTTTAATAAATGTGTGCATGTATGAACTGAAACTCTAATAATAATACGTTCTGACTTATCCTCATATTTTTGGATAATTTCCATGTTTAAACAAAGTATCCCCTCACATCTTTGTAGTCCTGGTGTGGCACTGTGGGTTAATGCACTGGACTACAAAGTCGGTTTGAATCACAAGATCAAGTTCACCAGTCACTCCTTGGAAACCTTATACAGGGTCGCTATGGATTAGAACCAACTCCATGGCACTTTACAACAACAACAACACATCTTCTTTACTTGTCTATACTCTTTTTTTCCTTCAGGAATATGTTATTATGTGCTTCTCTAGAACGGTGATATGGGCAGTTAACTTCTTTAGTTTTTGAATATCTGAAAAGGCCCATTTTCCCTTATATTAGGTAAGTATTTGTTCAGGAATCAAGTTCTGTGTTCAGAAATAAGGGATTTGCTTGGAGCTGAAGGCATGGGAGTTCGGAGTGGGAAAGTGGGTTGTGAAACCTTTGACAGGTTATTTATTCTAAGCTTCAGTTTGCCCATCTGTTAAATGGGTTGGGTTTCCTAGGACGCTGACTCTGAGACTCGGAGATGAGTGGACAGGAAGCATAGAGAGCAGTTCTCGTGGAATCAGTGTCTGCAGGTGGGGAGGGAAGGAGTGGGATTGAGCTGGGAGAGAAGTTGGGCTGCGTGTGGTCACAGGAGGCATCAGCTCTGGCGGGACTGGCTCAGCAGAGCCAGTTGAAGAAAGGGAGCAGGCTGGTCCTTTGTACCCTCCATTGCATGGAGGAGACTAGTGTGGGTGTGGCCTTGGGGTGGGAGACCCTCTTCAGCTGTGGGCATTCTTAGGGAAGCCCTGTGGGTTGTTAACTCTCCTGCTGATGGCCAGGAAGGGGGTGGTTTGGGCAGGGCATTTATGCTGTAGGTTAACGCGTCAGACTGCAAAGCTATTTGATCTGCAAGATCAGTGGTTCAAGCTCACCAGCTGCTGCTCGGAAACCCTATACAGGGTCGCTATGAGTCAAAATGGACTCCATGGCACTTAACAACAACAACAACAACAATACTTACCTGGTGTGGCACTGTAGGATAAGCATTGGACTGTTAGCCATAAGGTCAGTGGTTCAAACCCACCAGCTGCTCCTTGGAAATCCTGTACAGGCTAACTACACAACACACACACACACACACCCTTACCAACTCATGACAACCCCATATGTGTCAGAGTCGAAAGAACTGTGCTCAAGTACATCACCAAGCCTTTCTTCTGAAGGGCCTCTGTATGGATTCAGTGCTCCAACATTTTGGTCAGTGGCCAAGTACTTTATACCATCTAAGAACTTTGTTGCATGGAATAAACCCTCAATGAATGACTATTTAAAATGAAGAGAGGCTGTGTTTGTTTTCTGAGATTTGTGTAACTTTGTGGATGGACCTCCTGTATATATTGGTAAATACCATCTTTGGATGAGAAGTCCATTTAGAGGTCGGGGATTGGGTCATGTGTATGAGGCAGCATCGCAGACTTTGAGTTTGTATAATGGACACATAGTAAGAGCACTTAGAGTGTGCCAGGCGCTGTCCTTGGTGCTAAAAGTGTTAGCTCTCTTAATTCTCAGACTTAAGGAGGCTAACAATGACATTATCTCCACATTAGAAATGAGGAGGCTGAGATATTGAATAAGGGTCTTGCCTAAGGATACACAGGGATTGCAACCCAGGGTCTGCCTCCTTAGCCTGTGCCTGTAATGACCAGCATGGTGGTGGTACCACTTAAATGCCATTGGGCTGAGGCTGACTTATTTGAAAGGATGGCAGTAGAGAACAGATATTTATTTAGCTTATCTATGTAAATTTAATTTAGGGATGGACTTGTTGAAAGGACATGAAACTTAACCAAAGTTAGGCAAATTAACCTGAGTTTATTGTGAGGACCCTTGCTCTCCATCCACCAGAGTCCAGTGTCAGGGGACATGACTGAGTCTTGTAGGGACAGCAGGGTCTACGGGTTGTGTCTTTCATCCCACATAGACGCCCCACTCTCTCTCTCCCCCTGATTCTCTTGTCTGTCCCTAGTCTCCTGTTCTCTCTGCAGACCAGCTGCTTCCACTCTGTGCCCATCCCCCCCCGCCCCCCCCGGCCATCTCAGGCAGCAGGCAGGCCCGGAGTCACCTGGCATCCCTGAGCAACCCAATGGGCAGATGTGTGGGGGTGGGGTTTGAAAGAAGAAGCCCCTTCAGCCAACTGGGAAAGGCCCTGGAAGCTGGGGCTGCTCCGACAGCCTTGCCAGCTAGATTGTGTCCCCACTTGAATAATGAGGAAAGATGAGGTTGTGCAGTGGGTTAAATGTTGGGCTGCCAGAACCGCAAAGTCAGTGGTTCAAACCCATCTGGCTGTCAGTTGTAAAGACTTACAGTCTCAGAAACCCTCTGGGGCAGTTCTGCTCTGTCCTGTAGGATCGATATGAGTCCGAATTGACTCGACGGCAGTGTTTCTCTATTTTTGTGATGGATGAGGAAACGGAATCTCCATGTGGCAGAGTGTGTGTGGCTGTAGAGGTTGGGCTTCTTCCAGCCCAACAGCAGCTTTCTGACAGTGTAAAATAACAGCATGTATGCCCTCGACTGCTGTAAGGTCAGGAACAGAAGTGGCCACTGCCCACTGCAGGGGCTGTCCTCTAAACCACTTAGCACAGCTGCCACTCTTAGGGTTTGGTGGTCCCATGCCACCCTGTATTTGTAGCATGACTGGGCCAGGTATGCAGAGCCTTGGGTTGGACTAAGCGGGGTCCCTGGAGGAATCCGGACAGCCTCTGAGCAAGCCATTAACTTTCTGCTTTGTTTTTCTCTTCTCTGAAGCCGAGTATTTAAGACGGACATGGAGCTGGAAGTTTTACGCTACACCAATAAGATCTCCAGTGAGGCCCACCGGGAGGTAAGTCAGGGACCGACTCTGGCCGGTGCTTGGTGGACGTTGTGTTCTGGCTGAGTTTGGCAAGCAGCTTGCTCTGTGCCAGATGGCAGGGCAGCACCTGGGTGGTCTCACTTCAGATAGACATGGTGATATGTCTCTTTTCTGTGCCCCCGTGGGGTCAGGGACAGGAGAGCATCTGCCCCAGCAGCATGCATGAAGAAATGGGACCCTATTTAGTAGTAGATATGAACCCTCATGAAACATTCCAACAAAAGTCCCAACTTCCACGAGGGATGGGCTTGTCTTCCTGGCATCCCGGTAGTCCCTAATTTTAAAGGATTTTTTGTCCTCAACTGTGAATCAAGTCTACTTACTACTGTCATCTAACTTACTGGTGGTATAGTGAGTTATGCATTGGGCTGTTAACTGTAGGTTCTGCGGTTCAAATCCACGAGCCACTCCGCGGAAGAAATATGAAGCTTTCTGCTCCCATAGAGATTTGCAGCCTCAGAAACTTACACAGGGTCGCTGTGAGTTGGAACTGACTCAGCAGCACACAACAGCATCCGTTTTGATACGTACGGTCACTGTGAGTCAAAATCAACATGACGGCACCCAACAGCAACAGTTTTTGAAACGTTTTTAATGGTGCTTCTGAAACCTTCCTACTTTCCTTGGAAGTGAGAGAAAATAAGGAAATGCCTTTCTTACCAGGTGTTCAGGAGGGCTGGGGAGCCCAGTGAGTGCGTCCTGACCAACAGAGCCGCTTGCGGTCAGCAAACCAACCAGGGCAATTCATGGACAACAGAAGCTCTTATATGAACTCATTTTCTCAGTTTTTTATGAAAGTTTAAAACTCAAAACTCACTGCCACCGAGTCCATTCCTACTCATAGTGACCCTGTATAGGGTTTCCAAGAAAGCCTCATCTAACTCCTGCGGAATAGCTGGTGGGTTCGAACCAACGGCCTTGCGATTAGCAGCCCAGTGCTTATGCTACAGAGCCATCAGAGCTCTTTATGAAAGTCAGACAAAGGAAAACCTTTTGTGATAGTCATTCCAGCTCTCCTAGCAATGAGCATTCCAGCAAGCCCGTCTTGGTTACATTCGTAAGTGTGAGTCTGAGCCAGCGCTGGGCCTGCCGCATTCATCACTCTTCCGATGGAAGTGCTTTGTGGCGGTTTAAATAAACTGTGGGTTTGCAGCCTGAAAAAACGGGTAATTTGTCACATTTCTGCACTACTGTGTGTGCATATCTTTTTTTTTTTTTTTTAAAAAGAGGTTCTCTTGAAAAAGCGGTATCCATTATTTATAAGGCAATACTACTTATCTCCTTAACGCCAATTTCTTTACTTAATGTCCATCCTCCAGGTAATGAAGGCTGTAAAAGTGGGAATGAAGGAATATGAGATGGAAAGGTAAGATGCTGTGTTCTCTGGGTAAAGATTAAAATGTGAAAAAAAAAACACAGTCATTCCTGTTCCCTGAGCAAGTAGCAGATGAAGTGCTGTCGCGTCAGTGCCTAGATGGAGTGGGGACCAGGAGTAGGGTTTGGGGAGCATGAAGCAGGGTGGCTTCTCTTCCTCTCCCTGGCCCTCAGCAGAGTGCTTGATGGGAATGGCCTTTGATGACTTTTGGTGGTGGTTGAGTTCCCCATCATCTCAGCCCTGGACTTTGTTTCTGCAATTTGCAGGACACTTCACCAAATAGCTGCAGTTGGCGGCTCTGAGAGTCCCTAGTGAAACAGCTTGCCATCATTATGTGTAGATACTGCCATGATGTCTGGTGTGCTTGGACCACGTGATGGTTAAGTGGCTCAGCTAGCGCTCTGGAGAGCTCCATTGGTCTTTGGCTCCCATTAGGTCTGCAGTGAGCCCTGCTGGGTGTGGCCCAGACAGCCCCCCAGCCCTGCTTGAGGGTCCCTGACTCAGTATGCTGCAAAGAAGCCATTGAGTGAGATCCCAGAGGCCCCGTGACTCCTCTTCCACCTTGCTCCCAGACGCTCTCACTAGTAACGGCGCCAACTCAAAGCTCCCCTGGGGAGGGGTGCTGAAGAGGCTGCTGTTGCTCCCTCCCTCCTGTACCCCCTTTCGTACCTGGCCTTGTAAGAGCTTGTTTGTTGTTGTGTCTCTCCCACGTTCAGAGCCAAGCCGTCCAGAATGCTGGGTTCCGCCTCCCCCCCACAGCCTTCATGACGTGCCTGCTTGGTCCCTGTGGGCTGCACTGGGCAGTGCATGCGTTTTTGTATTCTATTCCAGTGGTTTGGGGATAGGTGTCTTTTACAAAGTCTCATCCTGGGGTTCTGAAGAGTGAGTCTTCTTCATCCTTCTCTCAGTAAGAGGTTAGAAGGCCTTGAAGGACCCTGGATGATGGAGAGCATGTGACAAGTACTTCCTGAAGGACTCAGCTCTGTCAGTCCCGGCATGGGCGTCATTGTGGTTGGGATGGACGTTCAGATCTGTTTCTGCTGTCACCTCTACTGTGCAGTGTAGAGGCTATGGTCTGGTAGTCCCAGGATCCCTGGCCCTTTTAGGATCTGGGACATTGAAGAGTTCATTGGGCCAGGCTAGGAAGACCCCCCAGAAACATGACCCCCATTGGCTTCTTTCATAGTGATCCATAGCTGATGCCTCAAATAGATAGGAGGGGGCTTCAAATTTTATGGAAAAATAGAATTAGAAGATAATGGAATTTTTCCATGAACTTTTTCAAGCCCCCTAGTATAATCAAGGAGTTGGAGCATAAACAGCTTGTCCCAGCATGGAGACAGGCTATTTACCACACAGGTGTATCCTAAGCTTCAGGGGTCCAGCTCTACGGGCGTGCTCCTGGAAGGAGCCCTGAGCCGCCTTTCTGCCCAGTGCTGTGACCCTGCTGCAGAGGTCTGAGCACACACAGCCTGCCTGTAAACACGTCCCGCCGGCACCCTGCTTCACCCCAGATAATGCAGGTCTTTGCTTCTTTTTAATAACAAATTTCAATTTTTCTATAAACAGCGAATAAATGAGCCCCAATCCCCCGTCAGATGTTCTGGTGTGGCGCTGTGGGTTAATGCGCCAGACTGCAAAGCACTTTGAACTGCAAGGTCGGTGGTTCAAGCTCACCAGCTGCTCCATGGAAACCCTATACAGGGTCATTGTGGATCGGAATCGACTCGATGGCACTCCACAACAACAACAATTCCCCATCATGTGATTGTGGTTTAGTTGTATTGTTATTTTGCTGGAGTCTTTAAAACCCAACCTCAGACACCTTGCCAGTTCACCTGTCAATGCTTGAGTAGGTATTTCAGTTGATGAGGGAAGGTTCTTTTCCCTTTACAAAGTCATTCGGCCGTGATCACACTGAACAAATCTAGCAGAATGCCTTCATTTCACTTAGTCACTAGCTAGTCCATATAGGTCTCACCCTGTTCATTTGGAGGACGTTGATTTGAATTGGGATCCAAGCAAAGTCTACACATGGCATTGTCTCTGGTAGAGGAGACTCTCACTCAGAGAAAGGAGCCTGAGTCAGAGGCCAGAGCAGAGCCCTCAGTGGATCACCTGACTAGAAGTAGCCTTGGGAGAGTGCTGAGTGGCATCTATAAAGTGTTACCTGCCCGGTGTGCTTGTGGTCATGCGCTTAACTATGTGCCTGAATCCAGGATGTATAACAGGACAGCCCTCTGGTCTTTGGGTCCCTGAGAGAGCAGGGCAGGGCCAGTTCTGGGGTGGAACGTGGTAGGGGCTGCTTCGAGGGTAAAGCTCAGCTGAGTCAGCTATGAAGAAGACACCAGATGGCTGTTCCTGAAAGACAGGTGAGTGGGATGACCTTTGCAAGCAGAGGATATCACTGACGATTGATGGCCTGGGGAAATAGGTGATCCTTGAAAGGGATGTTGGGCAGATTGAGAAGGGTGCCCTCCCTGGTTGGCCCTGTAGGCATCTGACGCTTATCTCTGCCTTGAACTCCCACCCCATCCATGGGGCAGGCTTTTTCCATTGCTACCTGCTGATGGTGGTGGTTGTTATGTGCTGTGGAGTCGGTTCTGACTCATAGCGACCCTGTACAGGGTTTCCAAGGCTGTAAATCTTTACAGGAGTAGAAAGCCTCATCTTTCTCCCACGGAACCTCTGGTAGTTTCGAACTGCTGACCATTAGATTAGCAGCCCAACCTGTCACCACTCCTTGTTGCTGCCTGGATCGCTCTGTCATTGTTTCCTGGTTGCTTCTTGGGGGGTTTGGCTCAATGATCTGGAGAGCATCTGAACCGTCAGGTGGGAGGGATGGATGGATGGATGGATGGATTTATGGGAGACAGAAGACAGGTCTTCAGCTTCTTTTCTGCCATCCTTAACGATCCCCTGTACCTTAGAATTCTTTTCTTAACCAGTTGGGGAACAAAAAAGCTCTTCCAAAGCAGATGTTGGGGATTGGCCAGGAGGCATGGCCCTTGTAACTTGGAGCCCGTGACTGATGCTCCGGAAGGTCAGGGGGTCCAGACTGCCCTGCATGGTGACTCACCCTGTTACAAGAAAGTGAGCTGCTGTGTGCGTGTGTGCGTGTGTGCGTGTGTGCGCGTGCACGTACACTCCTGTGTGCATCTACAGGCGCAGTGAACACCCCTAAGACCTGCTGGGCACCTGTCGGGAGGGACTGCTGGGAGGGGAGGTGGACTGGAAGCAGAGTGGGTGACCAGGGATGGCAGGGCTCAGTGCCCTGATACAGTGGCGCTGTGGCTTGAGTGTGATTGGTCCATATAGAGACTCATGGTTACAGAAGAGTAAGTGAGCTGGTAGCATTTACAAGAGCGCCTCTTCCCTTTGTGCTATGCCCGTGAGCACAGTTTCAGAGGAAATGAAGATCATTTTCCACAATTGAGGTATAGTAAATTGTGTTAAGCCAATAAGACATTAACGTGTGGGTAAATCGGACTCTAACAGCATTTGACTGCAGGTCCAATCAGGCAGCCCATTTTGCCGTCTCATATTATTTAATGTTAGTGGCATAACCAGCTTGTAGCCGGCTGGCATGGGGCTGGCAGCTGAATCAATTACCTGCAAACACTAATTTAGAGCATGCTCAATTGGCTGTGTAAGCAGGTCCCGGTTCACATTTGCCACAAGGAGATTAATAACGTGATGTTTTTGACAGTCTGGGACCTTAATTGATAGGATGGATGCTCTCTCTCTCTCCAAGCTCTGAGGGGAGCATATTGGACCCCTCAGAACAGTGTTTGTGGTATATGGGGGTCATTTTAAAGACTTTATTAACCTCTACTTGACTGACTCCTTGGCATACTTTCTTGACCCTGGCCTGGGTTTTCTGGAGACTCCTGAGAAGGCCCAGATTTTTCTGGATCTTTCCACCATAGGCAAGAGCCCACAGCCTTAGTCTCCTGTGTCTTTCTGTCCTTGTTAATGAAGAGCTTGCCCAGCTGTGGGTTGTTTTTTTTTTGTTTTTTTTTTAATGAAAAGCCTGTTGCTTTTTCCTGCCCTTTGGCTGGGTGGAGTGAGGCTCCAATCTGAGTGTCAGATAAGCCCATTTAGTCCAGATTGGGATGGGGAGCACAGCCTGGGTGTCTTCTTCCTGCTGAGAAGTAGAGTCTTCCAACCTGTTTCCCCACAGCTAGTACCTCTAAGCCATGGCTGCTGGGGCAGGGGTTGATTTTACGGCATTTCTCTTCCTCAGGGAATCAGTTGCATAGCCCTTGCTCTGTTCTTGCTATGTAAGGCCAGGTTTTGTTTGTTTCTTTCTTTTTGGGATTAGAAAATTGAACCCCAATGATTTATAGGGAACCCACCTCACTATGTGTTGTGGCACCTGTTAATGGAGGTGGGGCAGAAGGGGGAGGCAGCTGCAGCAGACAGGCTCTTATCAGTGTGCCCCCCACCCGCCATCCCTACCCTTCACAGCTGACCTGTGAGCTCATCCTTATTCTCTGCACTGCCAGCCTCCTGCCACTGATCTGAGGACGGGCTTCTCTACCAAAGCTCCTCAAAGGCGACGGAAACTTATTGGATTAGTGCCCTTGTCTTTTCATCTCCCTGCCCCTCGTGCCTCACTGGAAGCCCTGAAGAAGCCAGCTCAGATGGCAATGCCACTGCTCCCTTCTCTCCGGGGACTCTCCCCACCATGCATGCTGGGCCTGGTGGCCAGACACGGCCAGGGTTGGGACCCTCACTGGTCATGCACAGGATCTGGGTTTACGAAGATGGAAGTGTCTCTCATTTTCCTCCCTCGTGAAGGGGCTAGAGATGTGCAGTTTCTCATGACTTGGGAGGGTTTGGTCTACTCTAATACCCACGGGCCTGGTTCCTGTTTGCCCTCCGCTGACCTGCTCCCATGAAGGGTACTGGACTTTTGTTTGGGACCCTTTGGGCAGATCCGGAGGCAGGCAACTTCTAAGACCTGATTTCCTGGGTAAGAGTGGACA